GTTTCTGATCCACCTGTTCAGAGGATGGCTGTGTACCTTAGACTGGCCTGGTGACCAGGAATGATAGCACCCATCACTCTCTTTTGTTCTGGGGAGGAGGAACCCCTAGAATAATGGGATTGTCTACTCATAGGGGCCTGGAGTACCTCTTTAATTATGTTTTTCTTTGAGACAGAATGTTCATGATGAAACTTCATGATGATTCATCCAATGATAGCCATGAGTGTCTGGGCTTCTGACACCCCATTGTCTGTAAGAAGTTGGCTTGTGAGTAACCCTTATATTTGGGTATTAGTTGATGGGGTCATGATTTGCATAAGGAGTTTGCCTGCCCTTTGGCTTTACTGTGGAAAATATTCTGTAGAAAGTTTCTTATTCTGTCCCCAAATTTTCTCTTTAAAATAGCCTGGGAGGACTTGTCCCCCACAGTGTCTTCTTCCTTCATGACAGAGGGACAGAGGAACTCATTTCCTCTGCACAGGATTGCTTCCCTCCTGAAATCCTTTCTTCCTGTGCTTTTGACCTGGGCCACACACTGTCCTCCCTCTTGGTAGTTGCTCTAATCATATTTTTCCTACTCTTCTATGAATCCTGGAGTTCAGGGATCTTGCATTTTTGCTGTCTTCACTTTTCAAGAGTCCATACAGCCCCTGAGAAGTTGATGAAATGCTACTGGTCATGCTTATGGAGCTGGACAATCTCTCCTGGGAAGCTAGGATGTCTGCAACCAGAAGCACCTCAGGGGCACAGTTCTGATGAAACATGTCAGTGGCACAGTCTTGCAGGATGATGCCAGTAGCCTGTGCTTGAGGCTGGTTCTCTGGATCAGTATGTGATTTCAGGCATGAGTATTTTTGGCTCTGTAAATTAGAACTTCTAAAAAGGGGAGGGTCTCTTACTGGTCCTCTGAGATTCTAAATTTCCTAGATGAATATCAACATTTAGGAAATTTGACATCCTTCTGATTCTCATGTTGATTCTCCAGTCAGAAGACTCCTCATCATCCTCTAGCTCTCTGATTTCTTCAGCTTTTAAAAAATTAAAAATACCTGAAGTGATAACATGCTGTGGCATGAGACTTGTGAGCTCAAACCTCCACTCCCCACAGTCTCATGTATCCATTTCTAGGCTTGGACTTGATTCCAGCTATCTCTTGCAGATCCTAAGACAGTATCATTGTGCCAGATTCTGCCCACAAGAATGTAAGTGTGGGGTTGAGAGGGTAGGCTGCCCTTGTGTACAGTTAGAGAATCTGAAATCCCACAGTTGTCACCAGATGTAGTTCTGCTCAGGGACTCAAAAGAAGGTCCAGAATGAGGACTTTTCTGGGTGGGAACTGGAGTTTTTGCTATCTCCTTCAACCCTGGACCTCTCTGAATGGATTTTCCCAGGACCCTGGCATTATGGGTAATGGAGTCAACCTTGGAGTTACAGGTGGCTGTAGAGGGAAGGGAAGGCTGTGGAGATGATGAAGCCACAGAGTTTCTCATCTTCAAGATATTTATGTGCTTAAGGACCTTGAGAGGTGGGGCCTACCTGTGCCTTACTCTTAGAATTTTAACACATGTCTTCGGCATCTGCACAGTGCCAACATCAAGGAAGGAGATCTCCTTGGAGGTATTCCTGAAGGCTCCCCCACCTTTTAAGTTTGGTCAATCCCAAGTTACCTTCTGAGTCTTTGAACTTTCAGGTGGGACACAGACATGGTGTGTGCCAAGCCTGGAATTACAAACTCTCACAGGAATCATGCCCTCTTGGATTATCACTGACCTCACTGAACCAGTCTCGTACAGCAGAGCTGTTCTTGTCTGGAATCACTGAGTTCCAGGAAGACTCACAATTGTCCTTTGCCTGACTTGTCCTTGGGATGTTGTCCCAGGATTCTGTCAGATTCAGAAATGGGTAGATATTGGGTGGTAGTC